TTTCAATTAATGTTGATTCTCAATGTTCTGTTTGCAGGTCAATAAATTAGCTCACTTTCGAGTCCACCGGAAGTCCCATTGGTGCGGACTGGACAAAAAAACCCGGCACAGAAGGGATCCAACGATCTCCTCAGATCCTCACCTGGTCCCTATTTCCGATCTGCCATCTTTGCCCATCACATAACCATTCTTGTGTGCACATTAGGCTCCGGCATACAAAGCTCGACCGAGGTCCAACCTTCGCTTCCAGAACCAAATGATGTTTATGGTACTTGGCTTTCATCACCTTGGCAATTAAGGACTGAGGGCGCTGATGAAGATTCCATAATTGTCGAGCTAGGAAAGCTAAATTCATGACTCGCAGGTCTCGAAACCCCATACTGCCATTGGACTTCGTTTCTAGTAGTTTCTCCCTCACAATCCATGTGATTCTCTTCTCATTTCCCTGCTGGCCCCACCAAAACCGCATGATAATACTATGGATGTCGTCAATTATTCCCTTAGGAAATTTGAAGACCGACATCGCATAGTTAAGTTGAGCTTGGGCCACGGACTTGATGAGTACCTCTCGTGCCGCCACTGACATAGTCTTTTCCTTCCATCCCGACAGCTTCTTCCTAACCGCTCCTTTAAGATTACAAAAAGCTCTTTCTTTGACCTCCCTGCTTCTGTTGCCAGGCCTAGATACTTGTCGTGTTTCTCCACCACCTTCATGCCTAGAGCGGAGCCCACCTACAGCCTTTGATGCGGTTTGAAGTTCGCCCCAAAGTACACTTCCAACTTCTCAAAGTTAATCAGTTGTTCGCATTCACGCTATACGCCTTGAGGATTCTCTTCAACTCCATGCTTTCATTTATAGTAACCCTGGCAAAAAATAAAAAATAAAGGGTAAATACAATTTAATATCCAAACCTTTCATTTTAAACAATATAATAGCCAAACCTTTTCGAAAACAATCTAATATCCAAATCGTCAACTTTCCGTTCGTTTGAACGTTAGTTGACACTTCAAAAAAGCTTTGTTTAGGGGAAATTGTCACAATACAACTTTGTTTCTTGTTTTGGCATTGCAGATGACTGAATATTTAGATTTCTTATACCATCATGGTGGAGTCATGGACTTCTCGGGTTTGGAACTACGATATGTTGGTGGTTTTTCAGAGAAGATATCGATGGATATTGATGAAGTGTCGTACTTCAAACTTTTTTGAAGTGTCAACTAACGGTCAAACAGACACAAAGTTGACGATTTGGATATTAGATTGTTTTCGAAAAGGTTTGGCTATTATATTGTTTAAAATAAAAGGTTTGGATATTAAATTGTATTTATCCAAAAATAAAATAGAGTCATCATAAAAAAACAGGTGCGAGATCACCGGAGCACCCCTAGCGACCTGCAAACCATGTAACTTTTTCTCCTGGACAGCTCTCGCAGTAAAAGAGGAGAGCCCTTCTGTCACCACCAATAAAAGGTACGGTGAGAGAGGGTCACCCTGACGGAGTCCATGACTCGGTGTAAACACTGGCGATCGATGTCTATTCACAAGGATGGAGTAAGAGACAGTCATAACACACATCATCACCAACCAAATCCATCTCTCTTCAAATCCCATCTCTCATTATTTCTTCTAGGAACTACCATTCAACCTTGTCATAAGCCTTCGCCATATCTGTTTTTGCGGCAAAGTAGCCTTTCTTGTTCTTGGATTTAATCTTCATAGTGTGGAAACATTCGAAAGCCGTCATAATGTTATCTGCAATGAAACGTCCCGGCACAAACGCACTTTGCTCTGTTGAGATGACACTATCCAAAAACATCTTCACTCGATTCACCAATATTTTTGCAATAATCTTGTAAAGCACATTAATTACATAGACGTCAACGGATCCTTCACTTTTGGAATTAAGACTATCAATGTATGGTTGAGGTTTGGTGGCAGGCTCTCCCTTTCAAAGACCTCCATGATCAACGCAGTAACTGCATCCCCCACTATGTGCCACAACTTCACCAAGAATAGGACTGACAAACCATCCTCCCCAGGAGCTTTTCTTTTCCTCATTTGACGAAGCGCTCCATGTATTTCCTCCCTTGAAAATGGTCGTACCAAATTTTGGTTCATCTCTGGTGTAACACGGACCCCCACCGAATCAAGTACCAGAGTTTGGTCAGGTCGTTTGCCTGCTTTAAAAAGGCCACCGAAGTAGTCTAGCAAACAGGTGAACACATCCTCCGTTCCTCTATACCATCGGCCAGTCTCATCCTTTAATCTTTTGATCGTGTTTTGCTTTCGTCGAGCAGTTGCTTTTTTATGGAAGTAATTAGTATTCTTGTCTCCGCCCCGTATCCAGTCGGCTCTCGACCTCTGCTTCCAGATTATCTCTTCATCACATTCTACCTCCTCCAGTTCAGATTGTAATTGCCTTCGTTTTTGAAGGACCAGTTCCGTCTTGGGAACTCTATCAAGCACTTGGAGAGCTTTTTTAATACGACGCTTTTGCTTCCCAAAATTTGGGAATGTGGTGAGGCTCCAATCTAACAGCTTGTTGCGTACCTGTTCAAATCTTGTGAACACACTTCCTCCCGTCGCATTCCACGCCTCCTCCACGATTCGCGGGCAGTCACCATGTTTCACCCAATGCGATTCAAATCTAAAAGACCGGCTCCACTTTACTTCCTCATCTTCCTCACCGAGGCTATCACATATTATAGGTCTGTGGTCCGATTTTTTCGCCTCCCCATTCAACACCCTAGCATTTCCAAAGAGTTCTTTCCGGTCGTCATTTGCCACAAAACTATCAATACATTCCTCTATATTACCACCAATCCCGCATCGGTTTTCCCAAGGACATCGAGGATTTTAATTGTCCCGCATGGGGCAATGTTTGGATCGACAAGTGCTGTTGCGAAGCACGAGGCAGAGTGGATCGTAGACTTAAAAAGCAAGGTGGGGCATTGATTTGATGATATTTATCCAAATCCCACCAGTTACCATTCCTACGGAAAAGCAATTAACGATAGTAACAGGTCGTTTGAATGAGATAATTCGATGAGTTATTTCGGCCGAATGAGTTATTGCGGTCGAAATAACTCGTTTGGCAAAAATAAAATGAAATATGTTTTTTGTCCATGAGACAATTGAAATAACTCATTGTGACTTATTTGAAATACCTCCCCACCCCATAATTATTTTAAGTAACTCATCTCTCAACTTCTTTTTTCACTTCGCCCCTTCATTAAGTAGTGAAATACTACAATATTTGAATGTTTTATACAAATAATACAATTAGACGAATTATCACATTTCAAATTGAAATACCACATAAAATGTCACATAACAAAATAATGCAACATTATGATTCGTACCACATAACTAAAATGATGCATCCAAACTAAAATTATGGTTAGCGCGATGCTAACCTATATAGGGCTGGGAATCTAGCCAAACTGTATGGAGAACCGTGGTCTAGACCGTATCGTATAGTTTGGTCTAGACCGTGAGACTGGAACTATGGTCTGGTCTGGTTTGCGGTCTCCTTCTTTATTGTGTGGTCTGGTCTGGTTTGCGGTCTCCTTCTTTATTGTGTGGTCTGGACCACGGTCTATCGTAGTAAATCGCAACAGACCGTGACACACTACCTACTAACTCAAACCAAAATATACACTAAATTAAACCTCAATTTGTGTATTTGACATAGTTAGTAAATACTCCGTTTAATACACGTATATTTACCTGTACGTACTTTATCCATATAAAACTTCTGTATCTGTATTATTGTCAAGCCGTTTCAATAGTTTTCGTTAATTTGACGGCTCCCATACTAAACACGTATAAAATGCGTATAACATGTTTAATATCCGTATTTAATGAAACAAACTATTAACTTTACTATTTTTTATATTTATTCTTTATAAAAATAATTAATTTTATATATGTATGACTATTAACTTACTATTAAACGTAACATTAGCTAAGAGACGAAATATAATACATGTACGTATTTTATACGTAACTTTCCCGTACCGTATTTTACTAACTATATTTTGAAGAACAAAGTTAGTTGATTCTTCATCTAGTTGAGAGCCAACAAATTGCCCAAATGATCGCTTATGTGTTATCTCCTTATCAAAGAACCACACAATAAATAATATTCATTGACCATGTCTAGACTATGGAGTCAATTAAACATAAGCACTAGAAAAAATTCATTCACCTTGATGAGATAAGGAAAATTATTGAGAGATAAGCGACCATCTTAGTGGTTCAAAACGATCTCGACGTCATCACGAAGATTATCAACCGCGAGAACCTTTGATCATCCGACAGAGGGAGAGAAGCGGTAGCACAAAGAGAAATAGGGAAACAAAGTTTTGATGTGTGTGTTTTTTAAAGGATACTGTATAGAGTCGTGGAGACTGGAGTGAGAGTTTGAAAATTGAAAAAACTCAATTCTCTCCTCATATATGTCTTCATATTTAATTACAATCACAAATTTTTTGTTTCACGAGCATATTGGTCACTAGAATTTTTATTTTTATAGATACAGGCGAAGGGTTTGAGGGCGGAACAAGAGTAAATTTTTTTAACATGGTCTGTCTGGTCCAGATCGTACCGGATCGCACCGCACAAGCGTGGTTTGATCTGTACAATATAGTATATGGCATGGTCCATGATCTGTATTCCAACCTCTCGATCTAGACCACAGACCGTATTTATAATCTGGTCTGGTCCGGACCCCACCGTTTCCCACCCCTAAACGTCCTATAGGAGGATAGTAAGGCAACCTGTTTCTTATGGGAATTACCGAATTAAACTCTGCGCGTTAATTCCAAGGATGGTCACTGGGTTTACTAAAACTGTTCATGTTTGGTCACTGCAAATATTTAATTTCATTCATGGTCACTAAGATTAGTTCAATAGTTCAAGTTTGGTCACTCTTCGTTAGTTTTTGATGATGTGGTAGTCAACTATTATAGTTGACCGTTAAATGAGTGACGTGACCATTAAAAAAATAATAAAATTTAAATATTTACAATTTCCACATCATTTTACAACTATTAAAAAAATAAAAATAAAACTTACCTCCGCAGCCACTCCCCGGGCTGTGCTTCATTCTCCACCTGCCCTAGAGTGGCCATTCAGCCTCTCTCTTTGGAAAATCTGAAGCAGGGTTACCAAGGAAATCAAGCATCAGAAAATCAGAATCGGTCCAATTTCTGCGAAGAACACTAATCAAGTTGTTGCAGAATTGTTTTAACCTTCATGTCTTCCACGAAAGATGGGAAGCCTCCAATGGACATGAAAGTGACGAAACCGAAGACGAATGAAGCACAGGAGCCTCTGGCCTGGGTTCAGAAACAGAGAGAGTGTAAACTTAGAGGCAGAGAACACAGAATGTCAACAAGATCTCGAAAGTAACGAACTTTCTTTCTTTCTTCTTAATTACCAGGATTGAGTTGTAACTAGTGCCGAATTTGAAGTATATGGTTCCTATGCAAATGGTGACCATGATGTAGATGACGAGCCTAAGCCAGTAGTAACCGAAATCCCTTGACATGTTGACGAAGGAGCGCTTGGTCAGAGTGAAAGCCTACATCGGGAAATTAGCCTGGCTCCCTCCTGCATCAAGCACCGTCCCTTTCTGCAGATACCAAAAAATGAAATGCAATTCAGAAAATCATAATTGGCCTTCGTTCCACTATTTTGATAATCAGGAACAGAGCACTTACGACTTTGGAGATCTCATCCACCTTCTGCCTTGCAGCATAACAATACTGAGAAGTTCGGTAGTAATCAACCAAAGTACGGATTGCTTCAGTTGTGGTGATCTTATCCAGAGGATCCTCCGATGCATCGAACTGATAAACAAACCAAAGGGTGGGTGAAATCAATCAAGCTAGTTTTCACTGGGGGAAAGGGGAGAAAAAGAAAAGAGAACAAAGGCGGGGTACCCGCAGTTTCATGGATCCTTTGAGAGTGGCCTTCACTTTGTCGAAGTCGGCATTGACGCATTGGAGGAAATGATCAGATGGGTTTCTCAAAGCAGGGCAGGGGAATCCGGCTTGCGCAAAGAACTGTTTGATAAAGAAAATTACTATGAGATTGCAGAGATGGAGAAGGAGAGAACACAGAAAAGTAAAGAATCCATAGCGTGAACTGAACCTCGTAGGCATCTGAAGCCTGGCCGAAATACACTGTTTTGCCACCAGAGAGAAGGTAAAGTCGATCAAAGAGCTCAAACACTTCACTGCTCGGCTGGTGGATGGATGCAATCACAGTTCTCCCGTCCCTCGACAGTCCACGCAGCGTCTGCGTTACAAAGAACGCCGAAGCACTCTTGAACCTTGATTAGTTGTAAAATGAGGAGGGATCAGAATAACGGTGGAGTAGATGGTGGATGTAAGTTTTATTTTTATTTTTTAATAGTTGTAAAATGAGATAGAAATTGTAAATATTTAAATTTTATTATTTTTTAATGGTGACATCACTCATTTAACGGTCAACTATAATAGTTGACTGCCACATCAGCAAAAACTAACGGAGAGTGACCAAACTTGAACTATTGAACTAATCTTAGTGACCATGAATGAAATTAAATATTTGCAGTGACCAAACATGAATGGTTTTAGTAAACCCAGGCATATTGGTCACTAGAATTTTCCAACATGGTCACGAGCATATTGGTCACTAGAATTTTTATTTTTATAGATACAGGCGAAGGGTTGGAGGGCGGCACAAGAGTAAAATTTTTTAACATAGTCTGTCTGGTCCAGATCGTACCGGATCGCACCGCACAAGCGTGGTTTGATCTGTACCATATAGTATATGGCATGGTCTATGATCTGTATTACAACCTCTCAATCTAGACCACAGACCGTATTTATAGCCTATGTTTGGCCCGGCTTTTAGAAGTGCTTTTCGGCTTCAAAAGCTTAAGCAGGGCCAAACACCTCTAAAAGCTCGGCTTTTGAAAAGCCGAAAAGCGCTTTTGTATAACATAAAAGCAGAAGCTCCGATTTGGAGCTTCTGCGAAAAGCTGTTTTGAAAATACAAGATTATCCTTACCATATTTTAATTTTATTTCATAAAATATAATTTTCCTTCATTTATATCATTTTAAAAATAAAATAAATTATAAAATCATATTATTTAATATAAAAGAAATCTAACAAGATCCATTTTGACTACTTTTTATTGTTTCGAATTTTTATTTATATTTTATATTATAAGTCCTTTATAGTCATTTTACACAACCGCTCATATTAAAAAGCACTTCTAATAGTTTTACAGCCAAACACTAAACTGCTTTTTTTGAAAAGTACTTATCTAAAAGCTCCAGCCAGAAGCTGCTTCTGCAAAAGCTACAGCAGGGCCAAACTAAGCTATAATCTGGTCTGGTCCGGACCCCACCGTTTCCCACCCCTAAACGTCCTATAGGAGGATAGTAAGGCAACCTGTTTCTTATGGGAATTACCGAATTAAACTCTGCAGTCTGCATCCTAATTGGTGACCAGTTTAAAACCCTAGAAACTCAAATTGTACGGGTCCTCCAAATTCCTAGCTACTCCAACACCAAAATTGTTCCCCAAAAGATCAGTATCCAGAAAACGAAAACTGTCCCATCTGTTTTTCTTGCGGCTAACGGAGATGGCGGATATCCCGAAGACTGTAATCTATCACGAAAGGCAAAGGCTGCAGTTCTGCCTGTTACACGCTCTCAACAACCTCTTCCAGGTAAACAATCCATCTACCTGACTACCTCTCTTCCTTCCTTCATCAGAGTGATTAAAATTGGCATCACAATTCATGCGGGTGTTTCTTCTTTTGTTCTCATTTCCTTCTTGCCTGGCGTTACTGCAGCAAAAAGACGCATTCACTCGACCCAGCTTGAATTCCATTGCAGAGAAGCTGATACTGGATGATCCCAACAAGCAAGGCTGGACGCCGTTTTCCGTTGTCTTCAAGCCCCACCACAATGCTTTCACCGGGAATTACGACATCAATGTCTTGATTTCCGCCCTGGAAGAGAAAGGCAAGACCGTGGTTTGGCACGACAGGCGAAATGGAGCTTCCACCATCGACCTCGAGAACCCTCAGGGGAGTCTTTACGGTATTGTGCTCAATGTCCCTGTTAGACGCTACGTTGGATTGTGGAAAGGCAGGCACTGGGTGGCCATGAGAAAGATTGATGGGGTTTGGTATAACCTGGATAGCGATCTTAGGCACCCTGTCGCTTTTGAAGATAGTGAGGAGGTTAGGGGGTTCTTGGATTACGTTATAGGTCATGGCTCCGAGGTTTTACTTGTCATGAACCATCAAGATTAGTGTTCTTTCCCCCCTCCTTTTTTCCTTCTTACTATTACATATTCTGTTGTAGTGTCATGATGATTGATGTTCAGTGTATGCCTAGGTGTGCACTTTGAATACGTGTCTAGGTGTCTTCCTCTTCTTTTGTAACTAGATAGCCTTAAAGGGTGCAGAGTATCTTGGGGGTTTCAACTGTGTGTTGATGTTTACATTTAGTATGTACCACTGTTGCACACTAAGGGATGGTGGAAAGGCTTCTATTCTTTTAGAAGGCTGTAAGCCATTCACTTTGCTTGTTTTGGCCCCAGGTTTTAAGCAAGCCATGACCTGTCATTCTCCTTATCACCAGTTTAAAAGTTACTGTCCATTAGTTCCATCATGGAGGTCAACTAGATGCATTGCTTGCCCCTATCAGGATGTGAAGTACGGTTAACCTAATGAATCAGTGGTTACAGATATGTTTATGTCTCTTGGTATGTATTTCCGGCGTCATTACAGCGCATCCCATGTCTTACTGAAATGCATTTGAGATGTTGAATGCCCATTGTTAGCCAGGAAGTGGTTCTAAGCTGCCAAATGCACACCACCGCATCCTGATTCATCTTGAAACTGCTTCTGTTTATCTTGCAAAGCTGGTTAGCTAGATAGTGCCATTTCAGCCTCCCTCCTGTCGTCCATCAAAGTTGGCTGCTAGCTTTTTGTTGTTTTCCCTTGTCAAAGTCTACTGTGAACTCTTTTTGGCACAAATATGCAGCAACCCTATATCTACTTACTAAAGATCAGTAGGTAGTATGCTCGTTTGAGTATAGCTTACCAACTGGCAAACTGTCCTAATTTGTTGGTCACATCTATCTTATTTGTTGGTCACATCTATCTTATTTGTTGGTCTTGTGTCTTGTCCAATCAAGTGAACAAGGCAAATACAATATAGATGCATCTAACATGCACTTCTGTGATTATGTCTACTGATGTAGAGACTACACAAACACCTAACACTACACATCGATTCGTCACGGCACAGTAAATATTTGTCTGCTGTCATTCTATGTCACACCTGGTCTACTCCTGTCTCCGACCATATGAAAGGTTCTCCTGGGTTGAAGGTTCTAGGTTGTGAAAGATCGGCCCTTTCAACGTCGAGATCTTTGGTTTGCCTGGACGGCCGGACTGGATTGGACATGCCAGCTTTTTAGAGCACCTTTGACATCTATTTTGTCTTTTGATCGGAATCAGTTTCCAAGATTTTCACTTTGCCTTGGTTGGTTTTACCGAAAGATATGCCTTATCTGGAGAACCGCTTTTGCAAAGCTAAAAAGATAGGTGGAGGAATTCAGCAATGGAGTTTTGAATCCTCTGCCCTCAGGTCGAGTAAGTGGCAGTATCTCCGTGTTTAGACCACCGGCTTCTTTGATTGTGGTGCAGGCAAAAAGAGAGCTTTGGGATTGCAGACGTGGGGGAAGTTGCACTTCCTTTCGTCTAATTTCCCACAAGCAGAAGCAGCAGCAGGGAGATACGAATCCTTCTTTCTTGAGTTCACACTTGGAAAAGTTTGCAGCCCGTTATATATACAATAACAATATGGTTCCCAGATAATTTTCTTTATGATGTTTCCTAAGTGGAAATATTCCTTGAAATAATTACAGTTGTGTAGCTCTCCGTCTAGGAAAGACTTTTTTTATTGAAGTAGAAAAAGTTATAGTGCTAGAACTATGAAGGAATCTTCACAAAAGTAGTTTAAACGCAACTTAGATTCCACAGGGCATCAAACACCCACTTTTCAACTTTGTTCGAAAAGATTTGAGTCGTGTACTAATAATCTTTATAATTGAAGTCTGAGCGGTTGTTTGAGCATTTGATATAGTATAAGAATTTTTCCATCTAGGAAAAATCACCTTGAATGACTTTAGCCTCCATTCAAGATTTTTGAAATTAGGGGAACTTGAATGGAAAGAAGTTTGTTTATGATATGTTGGGTTAATCGTACTTGGGAGATGTTTAGCTACAAATAAATGTAATCGACCATATATATATATATGGTTATGTTTTCGGTGCACTCACTTTTTTGGGTGCATTTAATGCATCCGCCTCATAATCGTCATTCTGAGCAGGCAATTCATGTGAAAACGATATCAATCATCACTTGTGGTATGATGAACAAGAACCACATGAATTTGTTCAAAAATTATTCAAAATTCACTTTAATTTGAATGATTCAGGGTTTAGGAATTTAGGGTTAGGGTTTACAATTTGGGATTTTGGGTTGAGATTCAAAATTGAAGGTTAATAGGTTAGGGTAATGGGTTGATTAGTTAGGATTCTATGTTATATCATCATATTAGACTAATACAATCCATTAAATTTCAAAATTAATGTATTATAACCACTTTTAGAGGTGAGTGCACTGAATGCACCCAAAAAAATGAGTGCACCGAAGTAGCCAGCATATATATATATATATATATATTATTTATGGAATACCGCAACTAATTCATAATGTGTATGAAAGTAACATAATATCGAATACATGAAAAGTAGGATGCAAGAGGTATTTGAACAAGCACACTCTCTACATAAAATGAACCACAAGTATCTTTCGTGACTTGTGTGCAAAGCAGTTAAAATTGGGATTTTACCTAAAATCGAAAACTGGGGTAAAATCGGAATCTTAAAATCGAATCGTAAAATCGTAAGATTTTAAGTACTATATAGAACATAACATATAATAATATTAGTGAGGTAAATCATTAATAACACAAAGACACATAACATTTAAAATGATAATTATCAAGATTAATGTTCCAAAATTACTATTTTAATTGTTATTTAATGCGCAACTCAAAATAATTCATGATGAAGGGATAAAGCTCATGGGGTTTCCCTCTTGTTTTCATGTTGTGTCTAGGTAGTTTAACATAAAGTAATATTCCGACATCGTCTACTAAGTATGATTTAAAACTAAAAATAATTGAACTCCAATA